TAGGAGGAGCTGGAGCCCAAGAGAGCTAGGATTTCCTAGCAAGCTAATGCTGTCCGGTAGGTTTAGAGACACCTGCAGGAGGGGCGCTGTTCTACGACTTCGACTCCAGCTTTCCGCAGTCCAAGATCACCCCTACTTCACCTGACCTAGCCAACACCCAAGGCAGGAGTGGCAGGAAGCTTCCGCAGTACCATGACCTTGCTCCATGGCCTGGGACTTTATTTCTAGTAGAGTCCTTTGTTTCGCTTCAGTCCTGCCTATCCCAGCACGGGTAGCCCCAGCGGGAGGACAGTCGGCATACTGAGAAGCCAGCTTGTGAAGGTTCCCTGGAACTCTAAGTGGGTAATGTCCTGGATGCCACAGGGGACCAACACCCTCAGCCACCTTCACCTCTCCTTGAAAACCCAGTGTGTTTGTTACCTGTGTCAAGTATGCTTTTTCAGGACACCACACTCCAGCTAAAACCACCATACATACCACTTAGTTTCCAGAAGCCCTGCCTTTCCCTTCCTTAGCAAGAGGGACGTGAAGGGCCAATGGTCTTATGTATACCTACTTTGTTGTACTTGGAGCATTTGAAGGCAAACTTCTAGGGCTGGGTCAAAGGCCTGACTATAAAAACTCAGGGAGGCCTATTTTTGCTCTAGCATTCACAGAGAGCTGTATTTCCAGGCCTCCTTCCTCAGAATCTACAAAAACAGGGCCTTCCTAAGTGCTCTAGGAGTGGCCCTAATATGTATTGCCTTTGAGCAGGCTACACGGTGACCCTCTTGTCTTGGTTGTGTAGTCTGACCTACACCCACTAATAGCCAGGTCAAAGCCACAGTCCAGGCCCTACACAATCAGACCCAAGTTCAGGTGTTAAAGCCTAGGCCTCTCCACAGGTAGCAGTTCCTCAGCTGCACATCTGAGAAAATCAGCACAATCTAGGGTCTGGTAATAGGGACATTTTCTTTTTGGTGGGAGGACAGGTGAGACCTCTAGGGTTCCACTGTCTAAATCTTTCATTTATCTGCAGTCATTTAAGGTTTCGGCTTGAGACCGGCCACTATCATCCTGCTCAGTATGAAGAATCTGGAGGAAAGTGATCTGGGATTATGCAGGCTTAAAGTGGGAAGGTCTTGCAGCTAGCAATAAAGGCTGGGCTGTAACTAGGACACACCTTTCCCTAGGGCAGTCCTGACACTTTCCATAGTGCTTCCGGCT